ACATCTGTTTTTAAAAACTATTAGCAACAGCTGTCCAAGAGCACTCACCATAACCAAAGGAATTATTATATATTCCGTTACAAGAGCTACAATGAGTAAGTCACTAGAGTAGACACTGGACATAGTCTAAGAATTACTGATCATGATCAAATTACTTAGCCAAATAGAGATTATTAAGTTTTATATAAACATGCAACACACGACAATGCTCATATTCCTGAGTTTTTAAACTTTCAGAAGCAAAAAAAGTGTTATGAACAAAATTAATTGGGAAGAAAAATCTTAGAAAAACGTGAAAACAGAAACATCCATGGCTTTTATCTTTGGTCAGGCAATTCTACAGCTAGCAAAAGGATGAATCTTGTACAGTTTTGGCTACATCTCAGCCTAATTTCTCAAAACCTCGACAAGTAAATTAAAAAAAAAAAAATTAAAAGCAAATTAAAAAAACAGGATCAACAACTTAGAACAGGGGATGCTGGATCACCATTAGTATAAGCTACTGTTGCAGAGTGTAGAAAGTGAGAGACACAAAATATCCACCCATGGCACCTCAACAATAACAGGGGCCCATAACTAGACAGAGGTGGCACAAGTGTTAAAAATTGTTAGGACAGATCAAAAACAGTCAAAAAATACTTTCATTCTATAGTTGGAAAGATTCAAAATGGTATAATTGTATCATATTATATTGATTTTCCTTCCAACTCATTTGTTAAGCAGATGTTTCAGATCAGATGTTAAAAAACATTGTGAGAAAAACATTTTAAATCAGCACACTTGTTAAACTTATCTCAGAGTCCTAGAGTCTCAGAGTCCTAGAGTAGTCAGCCCAGCAAATCTTTGATCTGTTGATGCTCTTTTAAAACTACATATTTGAAAATCTCTATGTGTCTTTAAATGCTAGGGACTGCCACCATGCCAAGGAGTGAAAACACAGTGTCAAAGGGACGAATCAAGTTTAAGGCAGTCTGATATGATAGAGAATTCAGATGAGATAACAAGAACTAAGGAAAGACAGATGCATTCAAATGTATTCAAACAATAATTGCATGCCTTATTTTTAAATAGTGGCAAAGATGAATCACTGAAACAAGTCATCCAGAAAAGTAAATGGTAGATTCTCAGTATCTTGATACACTATAAAAAAAAAAAAAAAAAAAAAAAAAAAAAAAAAAGTCTAGCCCACCAGAAGTTCAGAAATCAAACCCATTGAGACACAAACTGATGCTGTAATACATTTAAGGTGAAATGCTCATGTGTTAAGATAGATGCAGTAGTTAATGAAAGTCAACTTAAAAAAGCACGTGAACTTTTCACATACACAACTAGATTAATTAGTAGCATGGTAGTAATGGCCTTTAATAAACCTAAAATAACTATTTGCCAGCTCATTAACAGAACAAAAAGCCCTCCAAATTAAATAGTACAGAAGGATAATGTTGGGGGTTTTTAAATAGAACACCATGGTACTGTCTCATTTCTGTTTCATTCAATTCAGTATCAGTAACACCTGATTCTTCCCAATATTCTCGAACTAATTCCAAAGAGACTTCAGGTCATGTTACGAGTCAGTGCTTTTGAGAACTCTACATCTAACCATTAACAGAGGCAGAATACCCATTTCTATTCTGTTTGGTAACTCATCAACTTTTATGCAAGATAAATACTAAACGTTCAATGTTCATCTCCAAGGTTCGGATGTAGTTAGACTAACTACTCCAGCTTGGCTCTTGCTGTCACAGTTACAAATATAGTCAACTGTTTCTCCTCAAGTACTGTCAAACACGGATTCAGGTAAGATTCAGAGAAACCACGCTTTTTTCTATTCAATGTCATTTTAAAAAGCAGGAATTACTAGATTATTATGGGGGACCTCAAACTACATTATTTTCAAGTCCTTTTGGTGAAAGTAGTTGATCACAGAAGTTGCAACATCAGAAAAATAATGTCACTTGGTTAAGTGATAAAAACATTCTTAAATAAAACAAAGACCACAGTAACAACTTTCCTAAAAGCTGGAAATGGTACCAGTTATGCCTTTTGGAGGTCAAAATCAGAGTTCAAGCCTCACCAATGTAACAACCAAACACAGTCAAGCAACTCCTTCTATCATGTTTAACAGTCCTCCTCCACCTCCTCCTCCTCCAAAAGCACAGATCACCCAACGATGTTTTTATAGACTACAGACTTAACTGTTTTGGGCCCTTTCCTGGGCCAGAAGAAAAAGCACACAAAACCTACAGCTTATTTGCTTCAGAGCAGTGTAGAGCGTAAGTCAAACAGTTTAGATAACATAGCACATTTGCACTCAGCAGACATCACTGGCTCCTGATCCAAAATGCTCTTACATGTGCTAATCAACAAAGCCTCCAACGGACTAGGAACTGATTATCTTAGAAACTGTCTATCCTCCACAATTCTCAGCAACAGCTGTTGTCAATTACAGCAGCATACCTAACAGTTTAAGATAAAACTCCTAAGGATGGAGCATGAAGTAAACTTTTTAAGACTTCATCAACAGAATTTCTTTCAGGGTAAAGTGTAAACCAGTTCTTTGCACAGCCCTTCCCCAGTGAAAAATTAAGTTGTAATAGCAACAACCTGGAGACAGCAAAGATGATCTCTACACTGGCATAAAAAATAGGGAGGCAGAGAATGTATAACACATTTCCACCAAATCACACTCTTCCTGCACATCAGTACAAAGTAACAAAGTCTAAAAGATTCAAGTGCAAACAAAAGAGAAAAGCACAATGTTCAAGTAAAGCCATCATGGTTATGTAAAGAAGGAAAAATGTGAGAGAAATGTTTTCACTTACATTTCTCAAAGGTAACTGCCCTTCCCACAGGCGGCAAAGTACTTTCAGAAAACCTCTGAACTAATTTTGTGGGGCAAGTAAGCTTTGCTAATATTGCAGCTTAAAAAGAAAAACTGTTTGTAAACATCAAGTTTCTGGCTTTTCTCAGATTTACAAGAAGGCAAAATGAAGTAAAACATGCAAGAATCTCATCAGTTCAATTAATCATGGACCAAAGCTACCAGTAGAAGCCTCACTTAGTCACCTTTCCATCCAAAAAGCTGAAAATAGCCTCCTGTTTTCATCTTACTGACAAAAGGATGCCATTAATATCTTTTCAAAAGTTCAGTTTTCCCAGGAATTTACCATATCTAAATTATGAAGCCATCATAAAATCTAAGGAGGGGAAATATGCTCCATCTTTCTAAGATGCACTGACACATCCAGCAATTGCTTATGTTCTCATACTTTGCTATGCACTGAAATTCACCATGTAAGTTCGCAGCCCATACAGCTCCAGTTGTTGGCTCAATAGCAAAGTTGTCAATTTCAAGTAAGAAAATATACAAAAAAAAGTTTTGAAATTCACCAGTTTATTTGGAATAGGCTCTGTTTGTTTACCTGGCAGTCTGAACTTTGATTTCAACACAGTATTAATTTTAACAGCTTCAGCAATCACTACTATTTATATACATCCATATATACATCCTTGCAGCTACAGCATTTAGGTCAAATGTGGGCCACGTGTCAGTAAAAAAAACAAAAAAATAAAAAAGTCTGACAACTGGTAATCACAATTGTGTTAACTCACAATTACAGTTACTACACTAACAAAAAGAAAAAAAAGGACTGGTTTCAAAAATATAATCCATTATCACCCACAAACAATATAAATTTCTTATTGTCCCATTTTATATTTCACGGTATTTCAACTTGTGAGTTGCAACTGTAACAGTGGATGATGATTTAGAGAGAGAGATGGAATCTAGGACTAATTTAACTGAATATTTAATGAACCTCAAATTCTTAAAAATATTTTCAGCAACAATCAGACGACATATAATATGAATGTATTTTGGAATCTTTAGATTCCACAAAGTATTACCAGTAAATATCTGAACTAGTGTGTGACAAGTAACAAAACTGACATACAACAACTTCAATGAAGTTTCTCTAGTCTGTAAGGAGACTTATGTGGTGCTTTTTAACCAAGTTTCAGAGCTTTGTAAGGGAAGGTAACCAGGATTACTGAGAGTCAAATGGGAAATGGATACTGTGGAACTGAGTTGCAGAGCTGGAAGTGTATTCTCTTCTCCCAAGTGCCATCCCAGTACATTTTGTACATGATTCTTTACATGTATACCTCTTTCATGGGTATACCATCAAAGCAATGCTATGCCAGCATGATGGAACAACTGTTTCTTAAAAGCAAACCATAAAGCCTCCAGGATGTGTAATACCACAGGGCATGTAGCTAAGTGAACTACTGATGGGTACAGTACAGCAATCTCACTGTATGAAACTCTCAAACAGCTAAAATGTGTTAATTGCAGCACACAGAAATGCAAACTTCTACACCACTTGAACTGCAGTATCCCAAAGAAAAACACGTGTGATGGTTAAACATCTACCACTGATGGCAATGGACAGCTAGCACAGACTGAGTCAGGTAGGTGAGAGCAGGGAGGTAGGCTCTGGGGCAGGAAAACTGAAGGGAACGCAAGCTGCTTCTGAAAAGTCTTTTTTGAAGGCCTGGAGGGAAAAAAAAATAACCATGAAGACCTTCAACTTCCCTCTTCAGCCATCGGAATCACCAACAATTAAAAAAAAAAAAGCCGACAAACCAACCCAGAGGGGGAAACCTTGTGACAGATCTGCCTCCTCCCTCCCTGCTCTCACCTCCGGCAGCGGGGCTGTGGCTGCACAGCTCCCTGCCGGGGATCACCTGCCCTGGGCGCGCCCCGGGCGGCCGCCGCTCCCGGCGGGACCCCGCGGGAGGAGGGCGGGCGAGGCCGCGGAGCGGCGGCGGCGCGGGGCGCGCAGGCCTCGGCGCCCCCCGGCCCCGCCGCCGCCACTGACGGCCGGGGAAGGGGCTCGGCGGGGTCCGGGGCGAGGGGCGGCGCACTGCGGCTGCGGGGCGGCCGGCGGGGAGGGGGGCAAGCGGGTGAAGGAGAGCAGATGCTCTGGGGCTGGTTTTACCTGCTGCTGCTGCTGCCTGCAGTGGTATGAAGATCTGGCTCAGCCTCTCTCTCTCCCTCCCCGCCTCCCTCCTTCCTCCCCTCCCGCCCTCCCTCCCTGCGGCTCGGAGCGGCGCACAGACCCCAGTGCCGGCCCGACGCCCTGCGAGGGACGCGGGGCAGGGGGAGGCGGTGGGGGAGACCCGGGGAAGGGAAGGGAAGGGGAAGGGCTCCTGCCCGCCCGCGGGGACGCGCGGTGGCACCGCCCCGCTCCCGCCGCGCAGGCGCCCGAGCCCGCGGCCGCCCGGCGCCTGCTCCCGGTTCCTGCTCGGAGCTCCCGCTGCCCGCGGCCGCCGGGGCTGCGGGGAGCTGCTGGAAGGGGAAGGGCGAGCGTGGGGCTGCCCGCGGGGCTTGGCCGGTGCCCGCTTCTCGCCACCGCGCTGGGCAGCAGCAGAAGGGCGGCGGGGTTGCTCGGAATCGGGAGGGTTTGCGTCTCTTCGGGGCCTTTCGGCCTCTTGAGGAAGCCCGATCTGTTTGTATTTACATAAAGCGTGCGTAGAGTGCACTTAGCAGTCACGCAGTGCGTGCTGAGGGGTGGGGGGAAGGGGTTTAAAATGAAGGTAGTTGGGAATGGGGCCGTATCATCGCTCCTTGGGAGCGCCTGGCCGGGTTCGGAGCGCTCGGGAAGGAGTGAAGTGCTGGGCCGGGGCTCGGGGCGGCCCGAGGTGGGTGGCGGCCCCAGCAGCGGGGTCACCGAGCGCGGCCCTGCAGCCCCGCAGCAGTTCACTGCGACACTCGCGTCCCTTCCCAAGCACGCGTGGATCGCTGGCACGCGATTGGGATCAGTCAGAAAGATCTCGTACTTAAGGCTTGGAAAATCCGGTAAACGTGCCGCTTGCTTGGCATCAGCCCTTCATTAACAATCGTGAAGGGACGCGAACAGAGGAGCCCCAAGTATTGAAGAGTTTCTTTTTCTTGCAAAAACAGCCTGCAAGACGTGCATTTATGCAAGCGTTTGAAGGTGTCCTGAAGCACCTTGTAATTTAGGTTGCTCCTTGTGACCATTTTGCAGTTTCTCATTATGTATCACGATGCACTATGTATCCAAGCTTTTCTTTGGAGACACCAGTACAAGACAGAAGGGGAAACTAGAGACATACTACATTATAGATGTAGCTGAAGCAGAAAAACTATTTGAACCTGAGTCTTGGAAAAATAAGCCTAAAACTGGCATGTTTGACTATTAGAGCATACTTCAAGGTAACATAGGAAGAAAGACGATTAATCCGAGATACACCTAGAAATGAAACAGCAATAAAACTTTTTAAGTTCAATAACAACTGCATTATGAATATATGATATCTAATCTCTGAAGATATTTTTTATAATTCCCTTGATTCCCAGAAAGGAACTTTTTTTGCTGTTTGGGTGATTTCAGGGCAAGATAATCAGCCTATCTATGTAGTTTTGCCAAAGACATTAGAGAGGAAATCTTAACTCCATGTCAGTCTACAGATGTTTTTGATTCCCAGATGTTTGATTAAGAAAAGACACCAAAGTAGGTTCCGGCCTGCTGATGATATTGTTTTACAGCTATACATTTACATTTTTTGCTACATCAGATTGTTTAAAGTAGGAAGAGCCATTTAAAGTTAAATTGTTGGTAGATTTAAAACTAAAAGCTCAGGACAAAAAACAAATGAAGACATGAGAATTTCCTTGCATGTCCGTATGTTCATTAATTTCAAACACATCCTTTCTTTTTCTGTTTGCAATAAAAATTTTCTGTTTGTCTCTCCTTACATTTATTTTACGTTAAAGCAGATCTTGATATTAAAAAAGCCAAGCAGTCAAGCATGTAATTTTTTCGAGTAATACCATGTTTTGAATAACTTGAACAGCTCAGTGATGAAAATACTATTTTGTTCAACACAGGGCATAGCATTTGGTTTAGAAATAATACAGCCATCTACAGTCAGCTTGTATATATCACAGTGACCTGTCCACTATAAATACATGGAAGTTCCTATTTTCTGTTTTGCAATACTGTGCATTTTAGTTAAGAACATGTGCAAAAGTAGCATGTGTTTGGGAGGTGAAATATCAATGTGAAGAATTATATAGCACATTATGTGTTGAAGATATGGGTGTATAGACAGGGCTCATTAGGTAAAATTCGTATTGAAAGTTCCAAGACCTTTTCTTTATAAGCCTGCAAATTCGTGCTGCTGTTTAAAAAAGGGAAGTGTGCACCTGCCTTTGGCACATATTCCCACTGAGTCCTCAAGTCAGGTAATTGCGAGTTGTCTAAATAACTGCTGGAATAATTATATGAGCATAGGATATCTAGCTGTGTGTGCACTTATGGGATGTCTTAAAAAATTTGGGCCCTCTCAGTATTCTCAATATGAAAATTATCCCATGGACAATAAAAGCTGGGACAAAAGCCATCAGGAAAAACAACAGCAGAATCTGCCAAAAGTAGTTATTCTTGTTTCATTGGCAATCAATTGTTAGGCTAATCATAACATTTAGAGTGCCATTTTAAGCAAGAATGGAAGTTCCACCCCTAAATTGAAACATTGTAAAGAAGTTAATCCCTTCTTCTTATGAACCAATAAAGAGGAAAATAAATTCCAAATATTACTAATTTCTGTATTTTCAAGATTAAGGAGGGTTAAGTTCAATCTACTTAGTTTATGTTCACAATATATCCTACTGGAGAGTCACAAGTTGAGGTGGATAAATTCGTGTATGTGAAGAAAATATTTCTTGTATTAGGTGTTGACTGAAATATTCTTGAGGTTATATTTTTTTTTTTCCAATTTTACTTGGCTGTACATTGCAATTTTGAAGAGTCCTTGTTTATATTTAGTTATGTTTTTGGTAGGGTTCTTCTTTTAAGTAGTCTGGTCTCTGATCTGGCTATGGTTTGTACACACATCTCATGTGTATGCAGTGTATGTAGCAAAAAATTCATATGTTGCTTGCCGGCATTTTAGTTTCTGGTCCTTGGGAGGAAAGAAGGTAGCCCAGCTTCATTATCAGCTATTGAATAAAGCCATTATACGCATATGAACTAGTTAGGAGGATTTCGTATAGTTTGAAAAAGATAATATAGATTTGCCAATTAAATAAAATAAAAAGCAAAATTTCTTGACTTTTGCTCTTGGTTAGCTCATGCAAACAATATAAAAATTCCCACCGATTTTTAATATATATTTATGTGAATTACGTACAAAGAATTTTTCTTGAGTATATATGTGTGCATGATTTTGTGCATATACAAATATATGCATACAATTGTATTGTGTGTATTTATATACACATGTTAGTTGTATTTCAAATTGTTATAGCATCTTGTTTGGATTTCATTTTTGATCTGTAATCCAAGAAATTTTGAAACTCAGGAATCTTAAGAAAATCTCAAGGAAGTTTTTATGACTGGAGATTCTCCCATGAATCAAATAAAACTGCACTCCTCTATCCACTGAATTGCCATAGAGAAACTGGGAAATATTTGTGGAGTACTTCTGTCTTTTCTAGACCCTACAATGACATGTATTCTATACACAGCCAATAAAAATAAAGTTATATTCATTTTAAACTTGATGTATTTTCTTCCAGTAGGATCTGCCTGACACCATTGTCAGCTTGCAGTTTCCATTGTAACTATTCACTTAATCACTCTCAAGTTCTGCTTTCGTACGTTATTTTAAAATATTTACCAATCGTAAGGAGAGTAATTAATTACAAGTTTTGTTCTGTCTTTTTATTCTCCACGTGCACCTTCTTGTGTGAAAAAGTAACTTCGTTATTCTTCTGAATGATAATAAGATTTGGCCATAGACATTTACTCCATAACTTAAATGGGTCTTAAGCAATTTTGAAATCTTTGGGTGTAGTGGAGCTTATTTAAGCTCTTTGTGAACATGTATGTCAAGTGATGTGATTCATTATAATTCTCCTATTATTAATTACATGTCCCAAATACCTACTACAACATACTGTGTCTTCTTCCAGTGGAGAACCAAACATCTCCTGCTTTCTCAGTAAAATGCATAACTTGACATACTGACAGTTATGTCAAACACGATGAAATGCATCATGTAAGTTGGACAAAGAGGCATGACTTAATGTGTTCTGGAAAAATTTAAAGGAATCAAGGAAAATTGAGTGAACAAGAGCAAAAAAGACTGATGAACTCCTGTTAGAAAGAATAAAAGGAATAATGTACTCCAGACCAGCTCAGTTAAAATTTGACATGTGTGAGACTTCCTCTGAAATGTGAAGAAACCAACCTGATTTTGTAACACACAGTGCACCAGCACAGAATCATATCAGCATATTGTGGTGTACCATGTAGCTGTTGGGCCAGCACACTGAGAGGTGGAGAAACTGGATAGAACAGAGCAAGGCTACACACAGATTTAATGGAGAAGGGCAAAAAGAAAAAAAAACTTGATATCAGAAAAAGTTCTTTCTAAGAACATCCAAAAGTAAGCCACGATTTCTGTGAATATGAGTGACCAGGGCAACATTTTTGCATGTGGTGCCTTTGGACCCAATTCAGGCAAAACCATCCATTGACACTTAAGTTCCATTGATTTCAGCAGAGCTTAAGTGCTTTCCTGAATCGAGGCTAATTAAGTGCATCACATACAAATACTTGTGTGCATAAATTGTTTACAGGATTGGGGCTTTAGGGCTTGTCTAAACAGAGACACTCAGGAAAATTAATCCAAATTAACTAAAGGTATGAATTTAAAGTGGATTAGTTAAACCACATTAAACCCCAGTGTGGACTGGGGTTTAATGTGGTTTAACTAATCCACTTTAAATTCACTGTTTTAATTACTTTGGATTAACTTTCCTGAGTGTCCCTGTTTAGGCAAACCCTTGGAGTATTGAATAAAGTCCCCAAATGAGTCAAAATTAAAGTAGACCCAAATCTATATAAATAAAAATTCTACATTGGCAAGGGATGAAATCTTCAAATTTTACAATTCCATTGACTCTGTACCACCAGTGTGCTGAGGAACAGCATCAATGAGATCAAGTATCAGTCTGTAAACATGGCAAAGGAATGAAGCCATGAAACTCCGAGCTGTGTAGGAAAGGCTAGTCTGAGAAAAAAATCAGAATAAAACCCAAATTTTTCAAATCAGTCTTGTGTATTTCAGCAATATTAAATTGCAATTTAAAAATAAGGATCAGATTTATTTCCACTTAAATTGGCAA